CAACTTGTAAGGGCGCGCACTTGTGAGGTGCATTTACCAACTCTGGTGACGTGTCATGTCTGGTGTGATGCCCATGGACATCCATGAGAAAAAATCAATTTTTGATTTGTAGTTGATTTCGGAATCCAATGCATTTTGTACAACATATACGAAAAAAGTCCTTTTATCTTGTCGATAATTAATAAAAAATGGATTTAAAATTTAATAAAAGTACACAAAATAATGACTGTCAATTTTTTTGCACTCGCATACTCCGCAAAAACGTCTCACTGCCCAATTTACATAGAATTTCATGCATTGGATGAAATTGCAAACATTTTAATAAATGTAGACTACTTAAATGTATAATACTTATTATGTTGTTCCATGCAGACTTCCATTTTTTGATAAATATATTGCAATATATATTTTTATAGAATACGCTGTGTGTCATACATCTCGTTTCGAAGAGGAAATGAAGTGTGTAGCACACGTATCTCGGCTCACGCATACATTCAAACCTATCAAATATTTTTATTCTATAAAAATATATATTGCAATATATTTATCAAAAATGAAAGTCTGTTCTCCAGACATCGGATATTTTTCATAAAAAAAATTCAAATACGCAAAAACGATTTATCGATTCTACAACGTTGGTGCCGATAATTATTTACTTATTTCTAGTTAAATGAATTTTTTCCGCGAGAATCCCCTTCAACTGGAACGGATCAAACGATAGACTTCAAATCAATTTAAAATCAATCAAATAAATGAGAAAAAAAGCATCGCTTCTATTTGCTACGAATGAATGATTGAAAAGCATATTAAATGAAATGGGACGACTACCGGTCTTATATTTAAGGTGAATTAAGGAATGTTCACAAAAATACAAAATCTATATAAAATGAAATTCTTTTCATCGGTACCCATTCATGTCAAAGTAATGAAAAATAACATAAAAAAGAACAATCTTCAAAATGTTAGAGTGCCTTGGAATCACGTTGAAATGATAATACAAGAATGAATATATTTTGTCAATTTTCAATCAAACTCTCGCTGATTACATAAACTTCATTTGTAATTTGGCGACCAACATTTGTGGAAATTAAATAGAAGATCATGAACTTTGTAACGATGCGTCAAAACAACCAGAGAGCTTACAGAAAAATCCACGCTGGATGGTAGGGTCAACACGTAGTTTGCCCGCAAAGATAATGAATTCAATTCATTCCGAACAAAAGTTTCGTTTGTAGGAAAACTGTCGTAGCACACGTATCTAGGCTCACGCATACATTCAAAGCTATCAAATATTTTTATTCTATAGAAATATTTATTGCAATATATTTAGTAGAAAATGAAAGTCTGCTTGAGAAAGCAATGTGAACAATTTTCTGTTAACAATGTAACCTGAATGCGGCGTGTTCACTGAGATCGAGAGACAAAATGAGTTATTCATCTTGTAATTCCTACAAAATATTTTTGGGGCAATGGTACTTTGATATATTGTAATACCTTTCGATTTCGCATTAAAATCAGACAATATATTTAGCTGCCGTCATCTGGATATTCGGGCTCATCTGGATGCCGTCAGCAGATGATGCGAAGTGAAAACAATAGAAGTGATTATTATAGTAATACCAGTATATAACAAGCTTATATACCTATAACAATCACTTCTATTCTTTTCACTTTGTATCATCTGCTGACGATATCCAGATGAGCTGTAATATCCAGATGACGACAGCTAAATATATTGTCTGATTAAAATAAATAGCTGACAATTATTCAAAAACAGATCACAATTCCAAAGAGAATGCCTTTTTCATGAAATACTTTCTTCGTTTTTTTTCTTCTTTGATAAACCACAAATGTAATAATAATGTAAAATGTTAAAAACACACTTATATTGCGTTGCCTCTTGGGCATTATCAAAATGAGATTTTCATTTTTTTTCCAAAAATGATAGAGGCAACGCAATATAAAAATTGTTTGTGTATTTGATTACAAGCGAAACTGAAAATTTATATCAGATCATTTTCAGATCTGATGTGCAGTATTGCGCCAAAGTGAGAACTTCCAAAGAAGTGTTTTTTTACTTATTTTAATATCAATAAGTTTTTTGCAATTCAAAACCAAATACGGCACTACAAATCGACAAATGTTTATGAAATAAATGAAATTTTTCATAATAAAAATAGACATCTACAACTAGATAATATTTTTCGAGATGTCTAATAATTTATTAGTAATAAATATAAAAGTAATGTTACCTGCCCAAGCCGTCTTGACCGACTGAATTTATATAGTCATAAGACCCGAACTTTTTACATTTACATATAAAGTTTTTCGCCACTTCTTTTAGAAAGTAAATTTTTTACCTTGTACTATTACATATAGCATTTTGACCTACATCGTCTTGCGCTTGCATAACATTTAAAATGCATATAAATTTTCAATACGACCTCAATTCAAAACTTTACAAAGTAGCAGCAAACAACATTAAGAAAGAGATAATTATACATTCGAAGGTTAAAATTAAACATTGAATAGAAAACCATTGGAATTAAACTTCGTGCGGAGAAGTAAAATGACGACATGAGAATATGTTTTTGTTAGGCCATTATCCAGCTATTAGCTACTGTCATATTCCATCAATAAGTATATACGGCTCAGATAGTTATTTAGTGCAAACCTTAAACTTATTCGGATATAAATAAGCCCATTTTGTTGGAAATGGAAATCAGTATTAAACATGTATCGTACAAAAGCTGTGCTAGTATTATTTCTGATTGTTGGCACCTTGCTTCAACTTGAAGCACAAAGATGCACTAACAAGTGTCAAAATGGTTTCTGCATTTCAAAGTGTGTGGTTCATAGTGAAACACACAGAAATGGAAAAATAAGCGAATACCATTCCACGGAGACTCAAAAAGTGTTTACCGGATGCTGCAAGAATAGGGATTGCAGACGTAAAAACACAGAAAGTGTATACAGTCGGACTACCGAGTGAACTTCAAATAACAAAAAAAAAGAAAGTAAAAAAAGTCTATCAATTTAAAAAAACATGAAAAATTGTACTAATTTATCAAAATGGTTACAAATAAAAAAAATGATTTTTGTTAAAAACAAATTTATTGATTACATTATTACAGAGCAGTATAAATACTGAATAAATATCGCCTGATAATTTCAAGCGCTAATTTCAGATGCTGAGCGCGTTAGCGGTAACGCAGCGTCACTGTCACTGTATATTGGAACTCTGTTTGACGTTTCATATTAAATTTTCACATTTAGGTTTTGTTCTCTTTTATTTCATATATAATTAAAAAATATTGTGATTTTTTTTATTTTAAGTGTTTATTTATTCAATCGGACAAAATAAGATGAGTAGCATGAAATCATATCCAAAGGTTTAAAATGTAATGTGGTATTAATAACTTATTTTATCAGCAAAAGCATAAAGAAAATAAGGTAGCGAAATAAAATGCAAGCCTAATGAATTAAATGAATTTTCGTCAGATATTCGAGAGCTAAATTGCAAAAAAATATCTTATTTTGTTTTTTTACAGCGTTGGAAAAATTGTGATGTATTTTTGAACGCATGCACAAAAACGTAGTTTTATTTTTATTACGAGCAAGAAATATGGCCTTGATTCGGAATCTCGCAACAAACATACAAAATTTCGACAGCAACTACTAAATCTATGTGCAACAGTTGGTATTATTATTGTTGACATATATTATTTGCACTCACTCTTTCGGTCTGCGATATTTCGAGATTATTAGACCATTCGGTTAGAGACGTGGTCTGGTCAGACGTTGAAAATGAAATCTTCAAAGAAAGGTGAAAAACAAGTTATCGCAATCACCAAATTCTTCCAAAGGAAAGATATATTAGGAAGTAGAGAAGATTTTATTTCCGAAAGTATAAAAAAACATACAGAAAAAATCAAAAGCGAAAAGAGTGTTGCGCCAACGAACCCTGGACCTTGTTGTATTGCAAACACGGAATTAAAAACAGTGAACGAAAAAGAAAAAAATGTTGAAGCTTGCTGCAATGCAAAAATCGAACTAAAAAAAGCAAAGCAGCTGATAAAAAAACTGACAGAAATTCATTTGAAAAAAGATTTAGAAATAGAAGAATTGAAAAAGAAGTTAAAGAAAACAAATTTTGATTCGACACAAACATCTACGGAACAATTAGATACACACAAGCACCTGTTTAATTCAGACGAATTAAGAAAAATCCGTTCAATAAAATCAGGGAGTGAACATGATTCAAATTTTGTGCTAAATGTTGTGCAATTATTGTACAAAGGAACGGAAGAAAAGCTGACAAATCGATCTGTGTGTAGCCGAAAACATAAAGGCATAAAAAAAAAGGATTAACACCAGAAAAAAAAGAAATAGTAAAAAAAATGTTCGAAGAAAGAACGCACAACGAATTAAATCAAAAAGAAAGGATGTCATCGATGAACCGTTATTTAAAATCAGCAATATTCAATATTTCAAGACGATCAATTCACAATATTAAAAAGTATGTATTTTTTTCATCTATCATAGCCTCAGTTTTAAGAAAACAATTTATTTTTTTCATTCTTAGTGGAGAGACAAATGAGCCGGAAAAACATAATACAGAACATCACGAAAATTTACATCATCAAAGACACCAATACGTCAACATGTATCACCACAATCATGCGTATGACCAAAATCAACAATACACAAACATGTATCGACATAATCAAGCAAATGAACAAAATCAAATGTATACGCAGAACCAAGCATATAACAATCAAATCGGCTATCAACCACATCAAAATTATTATTACCAAGATCAACAACATCAGTTTAATCAACAATGCTTTCAAAATCCGTTTCACTATTGACGTTCAAATGTATCATTTACTCTATATAAAAAAATAAAGACAAAAACGAAAAATCAAAGTAGGCTTTCGAAAAAGGTTTCTAGTGATTTGTGGTAAACACTCTTCAATTCGCAGAATTGTTTTCTCTTGTCACTCTTTATCGTTCTTTCTCTGTCTCTCTACTTGACTCTCAGTATTAAATGTTCTTCTATATGCATTGTATTTCCAATCATATTTGCATCAACATTGCCATGAATACCGTATCAAATTCATAAGGTAAAAGAACAAACAAGAAATCGATTCTATAACTAACCTTTCATTCGACCGAAAAGAAAGTAGTACGAAGAAATCACATTCAATTAATATTGACTTCATATGCTCACATTTTGTGCTTAGGTTTTAAACCACTTTCATTTTCGTTTTAATAAAAAAAGAATACAAAAAACCATGAATATGAAAATTAAATCAATCACAAAGAAGTTTTTATTGATTTTTCTTCATTTGAGTTGTTGTGCGCAAAAGTACATGGCAAAGCTTTTAGATTTTTGTTTAAATTGATTTTGAAAAAAAAAAATCGTTGAACTTTATTATTTATTTATTCCATGACTTATTTGTTTGATGAGCCCTTTGGTTCGCTCTTCAATGGTTTTGTATCCAACGATTCGTCGACTGCATCATGCTTGACATCGTGATTTGCCGCCATTGCACCAACAACAACATTCAACGGTTTTTCGTCTGCAATTGCAATGCCTGCTTTACTTTCCTTGACATCATCATCAATAGCACGTTTGCCGACACCACCCAAATCCATCAAATTCATTCCAGCACACAATCCATTCAAGCTGTCAACGTTTATTTCGCCGACGAAAATCACCGAATCACTGTCACCTTTTGAATAAAAAAAAATTAATATTCTTTCCCATAAGTGAATGTAAATTAAAATTAAAAATTACCATCGTTTGAATCAACGCAAATGTGCGAAATATCCAAATTTGCATTGGCCGTGGCGTTTTCTTGTGCATTCACTATGAAACATGAAACCATTTTTAATCATTACAAAAATACAATCAAACTCAAATAAAAATAAAATGTCTTACATCCGTAAGATGAACTTTTCCGCACCGTGATCCACACCATGCATTTATTACAAATATTTTACTCAAAGAATTCACGAGAAAACTGAACCTTACATTAGTTTTAAGATACAAATAATTTTCGAAGCACTTTTCATACAAAAACTACTAAAAATGAGAATTTTTGTATCGCAGCCATGCCTATATGATATCGTAATCATGTGAAAATTTGCAGTAGGTTATTTTTTCACAAAAGGCTAACATTCCGAAAGTTTGAAGAAATTTCAATGCATATTAAGGGTACTTCCCATACAACATTTCGTTTTTGAGCGAAAAATCCAAAATTTTGTTCGGGTGGTACCCCTAATATGCGTTGAAATGTTTTCAAACTCTCGAAACGGTATTTTTGTATGATAAAAATAACCTGTGCAAAGTTTCAGCTCATTACGATATCATACAGGCATGGCTTCCATACAATAAATCCAATTTTTTTGAAATTTTTGTATGAAAAGTGTGTCGAAAGTTATTTGTATCGCAAAACTAACGTCATATTCGGTTTTCTCGTACCAAAAAACACCCCAATACACATTTTTGAATGTTTAAGTATACATTAAATATCACTTTTGGAAGAAAAATTGAATTTTTCTCATGAATGGCCATAGGCATCACACCAGACATGACACTTCACTCTTTCAACCAAAGTGGCTCAAAATCTAATGGTTTCTATTCCTCGGCACCCCCAATCATCCTGTGAAGTCAGATTTTGAATTACTTTTCTTGTTTGAAAGTTATCGTGTTAACAAATTTTTGCGTACAGCGTACCACGCACATACATTCGGACATCGAAAAAACGCTAGATTCGTGTTTCCTGGCTCCTAAAACACCCAGAAAACATGTTTTTTGAGGGTGTTAATTTTTCGACCGATTCCAATACTTTACCTTACACACTAGGTGTGTGCGGAAAAGTAATACACTATAAAAGTCACACTTACAATTGGGCCCCAAAATGATTTCTGCTACGTCAGCATTTGCAAAATTTTCGCCTGTGTTTTCGTCCAAAATTCGTTTATACACATAACGTGTACCACCAATTTCAAGAAATGCCGAGTTTCGAGTAAATCTGAACATTTTAGTCGATAAATTGATTTTTTTAATTTCTTGGAATGAATCAACAAGACAATGAAATCAACAAGACAATGGCTATTCGATTCGAATTTTTATATGAGACCGTACTGTTGAAAAAGTACAAAACTATGAAGAGAAACGATATTAAAATATTCACTACTGTTCTGATCAAGCTCAAGGCGGGAAATGAACGAAATCTCGAAACTGTAAATACAAAGAAGCTGGGACAAGGAAATGTAACATACTTGCAAATATGCGTATACGAGCGGTTGTTTGGTACACACTTGTGCTTATTACCAATACAAACACCATTTGTCGTTACAACGATACACATATTTGCAAGTGTTTTACATTTCTTTCTTCTCTTTCATTTTCAGCTTCTTTCTCTTACAGTATCGAGATTCGGTTCATTTCCCGCCATGAGCTTGATTAGAACAGTGCTAAATACTTTAATATCGTTTCTCTTCATAGTTTTTACAGTATCGGCATCCTTGGAGAAATTCGAACCGCGTTATTGGTTAATCAATATCAATAAAAATATCGTGAAGGAAAAAAATGGATTCAAATTGTGAGTATAATTTTATTAATGTGTTTTTTATTTGAATTTGATATTATGATTAATAATGGTGTCATATTTCATGACAGCGAATGCACAAGGAAACGCAAAGGCCAATGTAAAATTGGATAAGTCGCACATAAGCATTGATTCATCTGAAGGTAAATTTCAATTTTGATTTACACTAACATACGAATTTGGAAAGTATAGTTTTTTTTTTTATTCGAAAGGTGATTCGGTGATTTTCGTGGACGAAATTGCATTTGACAGCTCAGAAGATTTAACTGCTGTATTGCCGTTGCAAAATGAAAATCGTTATGGTATGGATGGGGAAGATGACGGAAAATGTTATTTGGCAGATGAATCCGACCAAACTGATTCATCATGGTCTATTGGAACATTGCCTGATAGGACTGAAGACCTAAAACTACTTTATGCTGGGGCCAAATCAGTTTTTGTCGAACAATCGAAAATTGTGGCATCAACACCAAACACATCCCCACAGAAAAATACCGAACAAACGAACAATGATGCGGAAAAATGTGCATGTGTTGACGCCGCTGGCGTTTCAAATATCAACGATACAATGCAAATTGGAGAGTAGTTTTGGAGCCAAATCAACAAAAATTCATTTGCAATGTTAAAAATCCGATTTTTTAATTTGTTTTCAATAAATCGTTTCTAAATAATTTGTCATCTCTTTCTTGGGCTAAGAATTTTTTTCTGCAGAATGAATGTGTCCAAAATCTATTGATATTGCATTTGAATGAAAATCTTTTACTGATTTCGAAATTTGCTTGCAATCCAGAGAAGACCAAACGTTGTTGTTTCGATGTTGTGCTCTTTTTTATTTCCTTTGACAAAAGATATAATTTAACCTCACACTAAAATGTGATCATTTTCCTAGTAATTTTCTGAAAATTGCAACTGAAAATCAAACAAGTCGTTTTTCTTACTTGCTATTACAGCACAGTCAACAGTGATGTTACAAAATAAAGTGTAATCCACTATTTTGTTAAAAAAATTAATAAAGTGCTCTTAAATGATATGTCGATTATATTCGCACGATGCGTGTTTTTCATGGGTTGAAATGGTGGCAAATGCACACCCATGTTGTATTCGGATTTATGATTGCAATTTTTTTTTGTTTTGTCTCCGTATATGTTGACATTATATACATACTGTTGTATTTTAATGACGTAATCAGATATGTTTGTTATCGTTGCCAAATTGAGTTGTCGTCTTATTTTTTTCATATTTTCATCGATCGTGTGATGTGTAATGGATTCGAGTTGTCGAAGCAAATACGACAATATGTATGGAGGTCTGTAATTGTCGCATGCTTAGCACTGAACTTGTTTTTTTCTTCAGCAAATTCAGTGTTTGCCATGTGAGTTTTTTTTTTCATTAACACTTACTGCACGGAATTTTATAAATTTACAGAGAGAACATTTCCTTAGAGTTTTTTTTCCTCTAAGATTTGTTGTTGATTTAGAGGGGTTTTCGTCTGTTTTTTTGTTGTTAACAACAACAGAAAATGCTCAATTTTGACTTATTTGATAAGAGTACAAGAGCCGATCGACAATGTTGAAAGATCGAGTAACGATGAAAAGTCACAACAAAAAAAGGGTATAATCAACAATTCTGAGAGAAGTGCCCTTCTCTTGAGCATGTTCTCGTAAGCGTTGTTCGCATCATTGTTTGAATCATCAAAACAAATATTGTTACGCGGCTGGTGTATTAGTGCGCCTCTTTTTGTCTGCTGTGGTTGTAATGTGGTTCGTTTGGATTCAGTGGCCTCACCCGTTGTGTTCTCGTTAATCAGATATGTTTGTTATTATCACCAAATTGAGTTGTCGTCTTGTTTTTTTTATATTTTCATCGATCGTGTGATGTGTGATGGATTCGGGTTGTCAAAGCAAATGCAACAATAACGAAAACATGGTAATTTAGCTGCACGCTGTGAACAACACAAAAAATTAATGTCGGAACCAAAGCAACAACGACACCATTTGTATGCGAAAATATGTTCTATATATTCTGTTTTGTCGCATTTTCTTTGTGTTTCTGATTCGTTTTCTCAATGGATTTGTCATCGGCAACCGTTGCAGCCAATTAATACATGTTCAATCGATGTAAATAACAACAAAGAAATTGTTGTCGTAGGTTGAGACAACTCAAACGAGCAAACTCAGACACCAAATGCTCTCCCTCTCTCAATCAAAACAATATTCTGCAAAAAGTTGCGTCAAAACTTTTGCAGCCAAGAAGAAAATAAAACGATAATGCAAAATTAATTGTGTAATAATTGAATGGGGTAGAATAAAAACTACTTCTCGAAAAATTGCTATTTTAAAACGAAACCTAAAAAAAAATTCAATAAAAAGTGAATCAATTTTTTTTTGTCCAATTGAAGTGAATCAAGAAAATTTTGTTCAATAAAAGTGAACCAAAAAAAAAATTTCACTCGGTTTTTTCAGTGTAAAATACACTAAAATGAATTTTTTTTTTGGGTTCACTTTTATTGAACAATATTTTTTTGGTTCACTTCAATTGAACGAAAAAAAATTGATTCACTTTTCATTGAAAGTTTTTTTTAGGTTTCGTGTTTAAACATTTTTCGAGAAGTAGTTTTTATTCTACCCCATTCAATTGTTAGATGATTCAATTTATATGAAGAAGAAAAAAATCGAGAAAATGCCTGTAAAGTTGAAAAAAACTTACATCTAACGTGCGAATTCATATTGAAAAGCTAGTACTATCAAGCATAACGCATGCATTGTTGTACACTTGCGTTTGTATTACATGTGTTGATTCGTCGTTAAAAATTTCCAAGTTGAATAGCGAACGTTAGCTTTGATCTGTCACATATACTTGAGATAAGGTGAATGGACTAAACGAAGTTTCAATTTCATTCAAAATTCTTTGCATATGGCATGTGCTATTTCGATCATTTTAATAAGGTCTTAATAAATTTGAATTTTTTGCGTTCAAAATAAAGAATGGTGTTATCAACCCAAGTAATTTTCAAGTTGATTTCAGAAAACCAATAGAATGTATATACACAGATTTGTTTTTAAACATCCAGCCAATCATCATAACAGTGCATTTGTGCAATAATCCTTCTATTTTGTTCTGTACGTGACAATTAAATCCAATTTGGAAAAACATCAAATGCATTCGAGCAAAAAGGTGAGACTTCCTTAAATTGTAATACTTCTTTAAACGATTTGCTGCAAACTATTTCGATCCATATTGTTTATGATATTTTTTTTTATTATCAATCACATCAAATGTTATTCTATCTCTTCCATTAGGGCTGTGTGGCACTCTCAAGTAGTGGCACTCTCACTTAGATTTTATGTTTAATGGTTCTTGTACTTTTGGTTACACCCAAAGGTATAACATTTTATTCGCAACAATTTTCCCCTCACATATATGACTATTAATTTTTTGTGCCACTATTAAAATTATTTCAATTAGGAATTACTTCAATGAAACTGGCCTCCTAATATGTGAACCATTCTACAACAAACCATCATATGGAATACTAGCCACTTGCTCATTGTATTTTCCAACCACAATGATCTATTGAATTTTTTGATCGAAGGGAAAAAGACCAAAACTTATAAATCTAATCGCTTGCAGATCAATTAATGATTTGGAATAATCAAAATGAAAAAGAAATTTGTCTGCTATTCATCGTTGCAAAAAAGACCATATGCCCATGTCACGTATCATTAGGTTTTATTTATGAAACTGCAACGTTGTGTTTGAGTTGTCAATGAAATCAACCGGTTGTTGTTGCACGAAAATAGACAAATAATCGGTGGATATATTTCTAGTATTGAAGTCTTAAATTCAAAATTGATTGTCAATATGATAGATTCACTATATGACTAAGCTAAGCTGATTTTTAAGAGATTGTAGTATTTATTTCGTTCATCGTAGTCTTAAGGTGTACTGGTGTACATTTTCTAAATTAGATCTCAATTTTCAATTACAAAATTATAGTTAGAATTGAATCGAATGTAATTTAGTAGGAGCAATATGGAATTCTACAACTGATTTCGAGAGGTATTTCATTCAAACTCAACATTTATCGCTATTGATTCAATCCATAAGATCCGTCATATTATAGCATTCGTAAACTACACAAGTAATTATACTAGGGATAGGACAGTATTGGTTGATGAAAATCCATACGAATATTTCTTATGATCGAGTATCAATAGTATTCTGAGAAAGGGCAATTCATGCAACAGATGAGGTGATTTAAGTATACGCCATCAAGCACCATCAACTTTGTGTGCATGGTGTTGATTGCATTGTGCCGGAAATGTTTGCTGTGAATATGTGTTGTTGAACAACCAAGTGATTGCATTCGATTTGATTTGAAGCAGATTTTTGTTCGGTCGTTGTTGTTTCCTTCAGTTTTTTGTTCGTATGAGAAGTAGTATTTATTTATTTTTGCCCAATTTAAAAAATATATAAAAAAATTATAACATATATCATAATTATGTGCCAAATGAAAATGTAAACCAACCCTGTGATTTTCTATCCAATTTCGATTTTGTTAAAAATTATAATCATCGCCAAAAAACACATTTTTAAATTAAAATAGCACAGTTAGAATCATTACTTTCTCTGCTGGAATCGCAAAACGATTGGAAACTTTACACTGAGATAAAGATGAAAAATCAAAAACGTTGGTAGCCATTGGTATTCGATTATAAAAGTGGCCTCTAAAGGCCAAAATCAAATAATATATTCAATCCCCGAAAAATGATAGCAATGAAGTGATATAAGTTATATACAATACTAAATCAAAAAATAATTACTTAAAAAAACAACAAATATTTAAAAAATATCGTATATTTAGTAATCGTCAACGAAAATTGTGCCAAATAAAGTATATTATTGCCAAACAAAAAAAGAGGAATGGCCCTAATCGATAATAAGTAACAGAAAAATACTGAAAATATACCATTTGTTTTCTAATAGCTTTAAAACACCGTTCAGAGACACCTTTCGTTTTAATATTTTCATTTGTTTGGATCACCTTTAATTGTCGTATACAAAAATCTAAAGTAAATTGCATTTATTGAAAAACAATTACTTTACTAATTAATTTATTTTTATTTTATTTTTTAAAAAGATAAAAATAAATTAATTATTAATTTTAATGTTCGTTTCAAAGATGTAGGTAGCAATTAGGGAAGCAATGGTAATGTATCATTGAATCGTCAATGTGAATTATCATCGCCGCAGCATCGTTATGATTTGAGTATGGGTTCAGATAAATTATCTTCACTATCACGATCTGAGGGAAGATACATATCCGATGAATGGACATTCAACGTTAGATTCGCGAGACGGCAACGAATCAACAAAGAGAAAATTGAGACGCAACAGTTTTTTTGCTATCAAATCACTGAATGAAATAAATAAATAAAAACATCGAAATTGTTTTTCTTTTTAGTTATCGCCAAACGAAAGATCATACTTCATGGCAAGAGAAATATTGATGACTGAATGAACCTATAAAAAGGATTTGGACATTTTGAATACATGGTTCTAAAATGAATTGCCACCCGAGAATGTAGAATCTATTAAGCCACTATTCCAGTGTATCAAATCGATGGCTCAGCGTCATGGTGTGTTTTTACGAGATCTTGAATAGAATATTATCGGCTTTAATCTAATTCTGCGGTTTTTTGTAGTTCTCGGATGTACTTTTATACGGTAGCAAATCGCCAGTCACTCAACAATTCAAAATTCTTGGCCATGTTCAATTACGTTTACCGATTACTGAAAATGCAGAACACAACACATTCATCTTTTATGGTGGACAAAAGTCAATAACCTCGAGCGCTGGAACGACTGCTGAAAAAAACATTGTGGTTGGCTAAAAGCATCGACTGAAATCTAATCAAAGCCACACGTTCAACTCAATTGCAGTAAGTATCATATATGTTTAATAAATTTATTCAGTTCAAAAAAAAAATTAAAAGTGTTGCTGACAATGTCTTTGTATTTTCAAATAGGTTCATCTGAACAAGGATTGGAATCATGTGGTGCACTATTATTAAATAAATCTCCGACCGAAACATCAACAGCAGCAGTAATCCAATTCATATGTGTTGGCATCGTGGAGCAACGGTTGGCTTGAAAGATTTCCTCATTTCATTGGAGAGTTTAATTGTGAGTTTTTCCTTCGGTGTCCCAGCTATGGTTGAAAATGTGATGCCATTCAATGTAATTTGTTTGGTAGATTTGAGTTCGATCAAAATTGCTTGATTTGCGAAGTATGCCTGAGGAGACAAAATAGTTTCACGAAAACGTGCAAACATCAACTCTTCCTTCACATTTTGATTGACATCTTTTAGACCGAATTCAAATATTTTCAATGTACAACACCATTAACTCGAAAACCGATCGAACTGTTCAAAACCGGTGTCTGTGGTGAATCCATCGGCTTTTACCAGCAAATGAAATTTCCAACCAGCAGCGTCTAAATGAATTGAACAAATTTGATTTTAGTAAAAGTGTTTTGATTCGAGAGCAAAAAAAAAACAGTGTTTGCTTATATTTTAAATACTCACCGAAACGAGAGACTGGCCGATCGACTTCTAGAATCGCCGGATAACGTTCGATTATTTGTATCATTGACATAATGCATAATTTTTAACGTCACTTCTTTGATTGACGTCTGAATTTCCAGTGAAACAGCTGGCTCTGCGGCAGTTTTAGCATTTAAAAAATTCGTATCATTTTACTGGGCTTGTGGTTGTTGTTGCTGCTGTTTACTTTGTTGACGACCTAACATCGACGATGCAAGTCTGCAAGAAAAAAAATGCCAAAATTTTAATTTTAAATAAATATAAGTGTATAAAAAAGATTTTCAAGTGGATTTTTTAATCGTGTCAAAAACATACCGTCCGTGAGGCGTTCGTTGTTGTCATAGTTTCTTTTAACTTCTCCATCCAAGATATAGTTGCCTGAATGAGCTTCGTACCGAATTATTTGCATACAATTGATTCGATAAAATGCTTGAATTGGGTCCGCCACGTGCGAATGATCCACGTGTTGAAGCACTTGGTGATGTTTGACTGGAATTTAGATGCGATGTTGACCAACGTGAAAAACGTTTTTTGGTAAAACTGCCTGGCACATAGGCGCCGGTATTTTCGTCAGTTTTTGTGGATGTACTGTACTGTTTGAACCAATCGGGATTATATCGTTTAGGGATGATAAATAGCTTGCATTTGCTGCTGAAAATGTTGCATTCGCCGTCGTTTCATCGTGTTCATCGTCGATGGCATTAGATGTTGGTACACTTTGAGCCGCATGAACTTTTCGATGTGTCAATTTTTTCGACGAACGTCGTGATTTTTTTGGAGTTTTATACAATAATTACTCAATTTTCATATCAAATTCACCACAATCAATAGAATTTGAAAACCTTTTACACAATTATTTCCAATGCACTTTGTTTGTCTTATGACTTGATATCGGTTCTTATGACGACTACATCCAAACAATTTAAACACACAAAATGATAATTGCTGAATGCAAACACAAAATTCGACTATGAACTGGGTCAAATGAAAGCCAAAGACATGTTTGCCATATTTTTAATGAATTTATCTCGCTTTTTTTGTACACAAACGGCAAAGTATAGTTCACACATCGATTTTAAATGAAATAAAGGAAATATTGTAGATTAAAAGATTCTTTAATTTACAATTCACATTGCGTCTTAACGCGCACAAAAAATGTCAACAGAGTCACTTTGACAGTTTAGTATTTATCAGCATTTTTTTAGTTCGCATGTATACCAACATTAAAATGATGAAATATTCATTGTCTAGAGAAAATTAAATACACAGAAACAAATACATTTATTATATTTATATAATTTTAATAAATTAAAAAAATGTATTTTCTTTGTTGAAAAATAATTTTCATAATAAAATTGTGTCATTTGACACAAACATTGTTCATTAAATTAAACATGAATATTCGTATGTGTGTATATGTGTATATACGTTTGTGCATGTGTACTTCTCCGCCGCATGTTCCCCTTCATTTCTTTTTATATACATTAAAAGAAGCAAAGGTCTGACGAAAGTGTGAAAGAGTATTGTATACGTTCGCTACACCTTCGTCACACTCTCGCTATACTTTCAATGCAAAATAAGCATTGAGAAATAAAAATGACAATGTAGGTGTGAGCAAAGTGTAGCTAAAGTGTACGGTGGTCTGGCATGTTCACGCGGGAAATTGTAAAAAATCCGGGCGAAATCCAGAATTTCTTCAGCATCCGGGCCGGGCGATTTTTCGTCCGGGTTTTACCTCAGAAATCCGGGCGAGACCGGATTTATCCGGGCGATCTGGCATGCTTATGGTATATGCTTATGGCCGATTGTTCGAACGGGATGCGATTATTTTTTGCGATGCCGAATTGAGGTTTGTGGACATTGAAACACTATCGCAAAACACTCTTTTGGAATTCAAATCATCACAAAACGTTGCAATTTATCCAAATATATTATCTAGGTAGATTCTGAGTCATTCTAATGAAAATAGAGGATGCCTCTAGAACAAAGTTTTCATTTTTGACTCAATATTGACAATTTTCTTTCAACCGGTAAATACCGGTTTTTAAATGAAAAAAACTTAGACGTGCAGACCCCATCACAATAATCAGCATGGCTCAGTAATCAGTGGAAAATTCTGGAGCTGGAAGTAGATCTTGTGGAGTTGGACCTGACCTAAAATGTTCTGGAAGTTGAGCATTCGCGGTTTACAACCCCGGAAATTCCTTATTTTTCAAGTTTTTCCATTAAAAAAGCGAAAAAAATCCATCGGTAAATTTCATTATTTTTTGTATTTCCATACAAAACATATGAGGGTCGAAAACGACCCGATCTGACAAAAAAATTCCCAAAATTAAATTAAACTGCTGTCATAAAAATGAAATAGCTAAAACCAATGTGTCGGTTTTGCCTAGCGTTATGCTCTCCTGTCGATCGCTAGGCGGATATTATCCCAAGCATATTAGGCGAGCATAGCGCTACGCTTCGATGCCGCATCATACGCAAGCGTCGTGTGATGACAATCAACGCAACTTGATTCATAAAATGTTTGCACAAAAACCATTGTGCACAATATACATTACCTTAGCTGTGTTAGGTTTACTTTTAAATTATTAATAACGCATAATATAAATGATGTATAACGAGAATCTACTTGTTAGGATTAGCTATGATCAAATTTTCTTTATTATTTGAATGGAATCGTCCACTAGAACATTTAAATTTATTTTTATAAATTCAGTTAACAGCTACTGTTAAAATCATATTCATTTGTTTTGCTGGATTTCATCACGAATTTTCTGGAATAGTTCGTCACAATGGAAGGATGTGAAGACTTCAAGTCTCTTTGAGCCAACGGTGGCGCCCCGAATTTCAAAGGGGACGTCAATGTAATTTAACAACTCAAATCGAAACTAAACAGCGCGCCAATTTTAAAACTTGGTGTCATTTCCTCCCATTGGTTCGTCAAAACCAATCATTTTTTCTTCGACGTTCTTTACCCGCACACGGAATAAATCTAAAATTATGAATACAATATTAAACCAATTAAATTGATCTCAGCACTCAAATTGCAATTAAAAATCACCTTTAATCAAATCAATCACCGAATCCAGTATTTCGTTATTGCGAATTTTGATCACGCCAATGAATGATACCATCAAAGCTTTAACAAACTTTTTATCGAAGAATGTTGCGTTGCGATGTGGTGGCCCATTCCATTTTAGTAATGCCTTGACAACATCAGCTTGTAAACATGTTTCTTGTGATGCACCGTTGACTTGGACGAGAAAAAAGCGATTCCCATCTGGAACAAATTCCTTAAATGGAATATTTTCACAAAGTAAATCATTTCTTTTGACCCAATACGTATTTGTGTTTGATATTGGCTGTGGAACTGTTTCCGATGAAACGTAAACATCTTCATCACACCGAATGCTTGCGACCATTACGTCTTCTTCTTCTCCTTGATTCAAAATTTCGTCAAGCTCTTGACTATCAATTTCATCCAAATCAATCGTCCTTTCCTGTTTGATTCCATTGGGCAAATCAGCCAAAGGATCTTCTTGATTTTCTACATTGACATTTTCTATCGATTGCTCATCATTTGCGCCATTATTTTCTTCACGCGATTCACTTTCAATAGAATTTTCTTGAATTTCAAATGGTGTGCTCGAAACACTACTTTTTTCAGAAAGTGCATCCAATTGAACATTTGCGATTGATATATCGGGTGAATTTGTTTCACTTCTTGAAACATGTTGATTGCTCGTTGAATTGGCGTCCAAAGGACATTCATCAGTCAATGAATTATCACCAAATTCACTTTCATATGAGTCATGCTCAATTTCAGAATGTGGATTTTCGGTGGCAGTTGAGAAAGAGTCATTCGTTTCGTTTTGAGATTCATCATCACTTTGATTATCGCTTCCTTCGGTCGGTTGTTCCACATTCGGGGATGGCAATTCAAAAAGACGAGCCGGGTTATAAATCGGTGGTATTGCTTGTTGTCTTTTTCGTGCAATAAAGGCCTCTGCCACATTGTATTCGTCTGAAAAAATCGAAGTTCTAAATATAAACACTGCTGACTGTCAGCAATTTTTGTATGGCGGTGTTACATTTCAATAAACTCTCAGGAGAAGTCTCACATTCATTCTCGGACATTCATTTGTATTTAAGTTGATTCCACGCCGAAGGAATTCTCCGAACGCAAAGGAACAGTGCAACATAATGGACAAGAAGAACCATAACTATAGCAGCAGCAGAACCAATGAAGAGACACCGAGACGTGAATAGATCGTAAGAGTGCTTAAAGCTGTTCATAGATAAAGAACGAAATATTGTACAAACCAGTGACCGGTTCGCGCATATTTCTATGCCTGATAGCTATGCTAAGCATAGCGGAGACGCAAGCCGCAACGCACCCGTCGCTATTCGATTCGAGCTATATTGTATGCGCACGGTCGTCTGCATAAACGAACATGTGCATTGTTCATATAGAGTGAACGACGATGCGTCGGTTGCGTTTGCGGCTATGCTTGGCATATTTATGCTACCTAGCGTATTTAGGCAAACATAGAAATATGCGCGAACCGGTCACTGGTACAAACGATATTAGATACATATTCATGAGTGTTCTTGAATGCCGCTCTTGCAAGCAAAATGCCAAGCATGTCTGCGGATTGCCATCGTACGTCGTGTGGCCCAACCAATCGATAATCGATTCCATTTATTATTATTTTTCGAGTCTATTCGTATATTTCTTTTTGTCGTTGTTCTACTTTCTACACCATTCGGTAATCTTCAATTTTCTCTCGTTCGATTTTCAGTTTGAAGCACAATGATTTTGTCTATGTGAAACGAAAATAACTTACGATGTGTTAATACGAACGATGGAAACGGTGAGCAGCGACTCGATAATTAGTTCAACGCATGGCGATGTTCTGAAAGATCTACACGATAAATTGATGGAACGAAGACAAGTGTTCTTGGAACGTTCGACTGAACTGTCCCGCAAACAGGCGTGGTATCGTTCTGTGGCGTTGGGTAAATTTTGGCGAAATTTGTTGTGTTGGATGTTGAACGCCGTTGTACGTACATTATAAGGCATGGGGTCAATCACGAAATTCTAGTGTATCTAGTTTTTAATAAGATTTCACTAGAAAACTAGAAAATTCTAGTGCGTGAAGTTGGCTCTCAGTAGTTTTTCATATAAATTATATGGCCTTTGGTGTGAAGTTGGCTTCGTTTGTGACGTCATTATTCGCACTAGATTTACTAGTTTTTCTAGTATTTACTAGCGTGATTCGCCCCATGTTATAAGGAGCATCTGCAGAGGGTGATTTATTCGCATTCGTAACAGAATTCTATCTAAATATCCTACCCATCCTATTGGATACAATTATGGACTTTAGTTTTCATGACTTGAACCTACAAAATGACTTATCACGTACTATTATATCGTAACCTTATCACTGCATGCAATGTAAACGATTTTCAATAACGTCAAAAACTAAAATGTAAATTTCGATTTCAGATTGCTCCTCGGTTATAATGTCGGCGGCTGAATTTT